TTTAATTATTATAATTCACTTTCTAATTTATTTATAAATTAGTTTTCTTACTTTTTGAAATACAAAATATTGATCAAGTTTTTATATTCCAGTTTTGTCAATAAATCTTTCTTCTTTTTTTTTTGGGTTCAATCTCAATAAAAAACATAAAATTCATTTAATTTTTTTAGTGACATAGTTGATCGTAAATAAAATATTATCACTTCAAATTTTGAAAAGCTCTTTTCTACTAAAGCAACAAATTTATTCAGAAAAGAATCAAAAAAAAATTATGTATTTTGATATTTCTATTGGGTTGATATCAATTTTTAAAATTTATTTTAAAATTATTAGTTCTGAAAGTAAATTAAAGTCATCAATATTAGTAGATAAATCATGTTTTAAAAAATTCTCAAGGTTAAGACAATATTTTTGCAAAATATCTTGATCTAAATATTTAATTTTTCATAACTAAATAAAAACCAAAAAATACTTCTATATGTTTTAAATTGTGCAATTCTATTCTTAATTGAAATAATAGCTTGATCTACAACATATATAAAATAATTAATTATAAAAGATTCTTTAGGTGACTGTGGTATCTCGTCATCAACAATCTCATCAAATTATTTTTTTTTTTATGAATTTTGTGTTTTTTTTATGAAATACAGTTTTTATTCCATTTTTCAGTTTCTTTTATTAACAACACCCATTATTAACCCAAAATAATGTAATATAAAATATAATAAGAGTCACTTGCACTCTTTTCCGAGACCATGAGACATAACCTGTCTACTTGAAGAATATAATAATAGATGAAGTGTTTAATAATAAAAATTTACAAGTTTCTATACAATGGAACAAAAATACATGTTATAAATTTATATACTTAGATTCGCATGTGTTGCTGTGCAAGACATATATTTTATAAGAAAGAATAAGGAAAAATTTTACCTTTTGTCTTGAAAGTGTTATAGATTATTATTGGGTTCTTTGGAAGTCGGCACACCTAATTAACCTTATTTGACAAAAAGTACATAGAACAAAATGTTTTGAAAAAAAGTACACAGTTGAGTTACAAAGACATAAATGCCCATTTTAAGGTCATTTAATTAAAAATCTCTTATCTTTAATGTACCTTGATTCATGTGTATTTGTTAATACATATAAATACGTATTTAATGCAACTTAATTCATGTGTATTTGTTAATACATGTATGTATGTATATATATATATATATATATATATATATATATATTTATATGCACATATGTACGTATAATACTTATTTATATACACATATATACGTGTATATAAATAAGTATATACATGTATATATGTATATATATCTATATTCGTGTGTGTGTGTATATATATATATATATATATATATATATATTTGTTATTAAATCTTTTATTTAAATTTTGAATTATCTTTAATCCACCTTTATTTATGCGTGTATTTTTTTTTTTGAAAAGTGATTTTGTTTTCAAATTATATTTAATGCACCTTAATTCAAATGTTTTTCTTTTTTTAGAAAATAGTTTTATTTTCAAATTAATTTAATATCCAAATAATATAATAGTATAACAATAACAGTGTAACAAATACAATGTTTAGTAGTTTTGTGTATATGGTAACAAATTCAAAACAAAGATGGACTATTTTGAATGAAATTATATGAAACTATATGTTTGACAAAATGTAATAGTACAATATTTTTGTGTAAATAACTTGTTATACTGTTATTGTTATACTATTACATTGTTAGTGTTACACTGTTATACCTTTATTGTTACATTATTATTGTTACACTGTTACACTTTTATTGTTATACTGTTATTGTTATACTATTACACTATTCGGATATTAAATTAATTTGAAAATAAAATCACTTTCTAAAAAAAATGCATGAATCAAGATGTATTAAAAAATAATTCAAAATTTAGATAAGAGATTTAACAAGTATATACATACATACATACATAAGTACATATATATATATATATATTAAAGTTCTCTCATAAAATTAAGAGATGTTTAATACACCATTTTCCAAAAAAATGGTGCATTGAATACACATGGATTAATAGAAGGCAAAAATATCAGTAAAATTCAAATAATGTATTTAGACACAAATAAGTATCAAAATTAAAGACTTAATTACCTAACATTTTTTTCTATGTATTTTTTTACAATTAAGTCTAATTAGGTGTACCTCCTTATAATTTTTTCGATTATTATTAGTAAAAATTTGGGCCTAATATTCTAAGGGGTTAAATTTTTGTGGGCCCCTCTAAAATTGGTCCCTAGGGAGCCACTTTAGTTGCCTATTCCCAACTAGGAAAGTCGGTCTTTTTTTATAGGCTTATTTAGGTTTAAATATACTCAAAAAATTTATTTGGAAATAAGTTTATTTTGATCTCAATTGTCCAAAATACCCTCAATAGTTATATTTAGTTAAAACTTGTTTGAAAAAACTAACAACTCCTAAATTAATAATTGTATTAGTATTAACAACTCAAATCTTAGAAATTGTGCTCGCATTAAAATTATATATATATTAAATAGTGACATGCTCAATAAAAAAATATTAACATCAAATAATAACATGCTCAACAAAAAAATAATAACATCAAACAATAACATGTTTGACAAAAATTTAATCACTATAATAGAGTGACACCCCCCACAACAGAATAAATACTTACATATAGTGTCACTCTATTGTAATAATTAAATTTTTTATTGAGCATATTACTATTTTTTTTGTTGAGTGTGTTATTGTTTGAAGTTACAATTTTTTTTATTGAACGTGTTACTGTTTGATATTATTATTTTTTTGTTGAGCGTGTTACTATTTAATATTATTATATATATATATATATATATATATAGAAAATATTTATAGTAAGGGTAATTATGGAATATATTTCAAAAAGAATTTGAAATGTTTTAAAATGTATACTTATTAACAATTATTTGATAAAAAAAAAAGACTTAATAGAATATAAGTTTGAAAATAACACTTAAAGGCAAATAAGTTCTACAAAAAGTACTCATAGCCAATTATCCCTAAAAAAAGCAAGAGAAAGGGAACAACCTAAAACATAACCAAGACAACAATGAACTGTTTTGGAAAGAGATTCATTCACTGGCCAACTACTTGCATGTAAGATGAAGCATATTTGTGGGCTCCGTGTGTGTGGAGCTGTGCAGAAGTGTTGGATAACTTTTTTCATTAATTACAAAATGGTGTACAATTAAAAGTATTCTGCTAGAAGCATCATAGCTGCTTTGCAAAAAAAGAGCAACATGTCCTGTACTAATGTATACTCAAAAGTCAAATCTGTAGAGGTTGTCAATGAAGAAACTTGTGCAAATTTGACAAAATGATAATAATAAAGCAAACTACAATATGTTAAGTACTGACCGAGCAGTCATGCAAATACCAATTTCTTGTTTTGCACAGAATCCTTAAAGCTTGAATGCGATTCTTAGTACTTAATCTACCCTTGATAGCTAGCCATAACCAACGGATCTTTGGTACTCTTTACCTTGTAAAAGTTTTGTCTTCTTATGATCAAGGGTTCAAACCCCCTTCCTCCTCTCCATCCCCCCCCCCCCCTTTTTTCCCCCAA